AAAGCCGAAGATAAATCGCCTCTCTCGTCTCCAGTATGCCTCAGTTCTTCACGAATCCATCAGATTACTTCCTGCGTTGCCGCCGTAGGAGCGACTATTTACCGCAGAAAAGTCGACTCATTTTGGAAGTACATGATGCCATTTAATACACAGTAGGGAGGCCAGGGTGACCAAAGACATGCTGTCTCCCAACTTGCACCGGCAACCTACTGATGTGTGGGTCTGTCCTCGCCTCATGAGACACGACTGTATAACATGCACAACTCATGATCAGTTGACTGTATCTGGTTTCATCGCTCGAACTCCGAGGTATCAAGAATAACGATGGATATGCATTTCGTCGTGTATGACGGAGACGTCCACGATTTCTGATGTCTACATGATTGCGCGTCAGTATTCACACAGTGATGCCAGAGTGGTGCTGACACTCGAAATCGTAATTCTGTAGTGGCTCTGGCGAAAGCGTGAGCTGCCCATAGGGATCACAGTAGTGTTAACAACTGGTGACCAGTTCGTACGATGAACGTGCGATCTAATAGTGGCGGAATTGCTCGATAAAAAAACACAAAAGCCAAAACTTCGTTTCGCGTTGTGTATTAATTTCGCTCTTGTCGAGAGACTTATACCGACATAGGCGATGGCTGGCTCTGTTCCTTACGGTGTGTGTTGTGACAGCACTATGCCGACACAATTACCGCTGGCATTTGTGTCTAGAATGACAGCGAATCCGGAAATGCCAACACCGCGGATTCGCAGATTCTCGAACGATTTTTGAAAAATGGTTTCCAGGTAAAGGCTTTGACTGCCGCCAAAAACCTATTTAGAGGTGCAACAAAGGTCGCAAATCTGAGGACGAATTGTGGGTAGTATGAGGCGGGACCGAGGAAGCTGCTTACTTCATCGGTGTTTTCTGAGTGGGCCAAGGGTGGGCGCGCTCGACTTTCGTCGGGTCGCAGCGCACTCCTTCAGATACAATGTGACTCAGATAGGTTAATTGAATTTGCAGGAACTGGTATTTATAGAGTTTCGGTTTTAACCCCAGCTGCACAGCTTCCATTGTGATCATCTCCCATTCCACGAACATTCATGTGGACTATAGTTTTGGTGAATTTAGATAGCGCGGTGTGCATCAAGCGCTGAAAAGAATACGGTGCGTTAGCTCGAGAGGCATACTCTTGAATTCGTACAGGCCAGACGGGACGATAAATGCGGACTTGAATGGAATATTTGGGTGCAGCTCGATCTGTCAGTAACCCAAAGCTAGGTTCAGGGTAGCGAAGCGTTGTGACCAGAAGAGAACGACCATGGTGTCATCCAACTTTAGTTATCGGGACGAGTCCTTTCGTATAACCGTGTTCAGCTTCCGATAGTCGACGCAGAGTAGTAGCTTTACACTCTGCATTTTCACTAAGAAAACGATGGGGGATACCCAAGGCGATTTGGACGGCCGAGTAATATCGCGATTTAACACGTCCTCGAGAATGCGTCGTAATTTCTTCTGGAAATAAATCGACATACGCCTTACAGGCTAGCGAATCGGTGCTGCGCTGCCGATGTCTATGTGGTGATGATCAAATTTACGCAGCTATAGATCATCGTCGGTCCACGAAAACGCATGCTGGTAGTTGTTCAAGATGTTTTGTAAACCACTGGAGTTTATACAGGGTTGTTTGGAAAAAAAGCTTTCGTTTTGTTATCTATTCCATTGCGCAGGGCAACAGCATGGGTAGCAGAATCGAATGGAATCAACTGCTGCACGTGAACTTCGAGAGTCTGTCTAGATTGATACTAGTACTAAAACAAGAAAGAAAATCTTATTAACAAAGCGTCCCAATGGAGATTGTGGAGTACAAAACAAGAGTGGGTGGTTAAAGTCCTATCTAACTCGATGGCAACTTCACAGTCTGGCCGACAGGTTTAATAGCCGTACCATTGGCAGCGATGACGTTGGCAGATCTGCCTTGGCGGATGGCTTCATCTCTTCGGACGGTAGGCCGAAGACGAGATCACGAACCGTATAGCGAAAGCTCGGAGTGCTTTTGTTAACCTTCGCCACCTATGGCGGCGGCGCGACATCACTCTCGCCTTGAAGGGTACAGTGTACAATGCAGCGGTACGTTCGACCTTACTGTACGGTTGCGAAACCTGGCACCTAAGGTCGGCGGACTTGAAGAGGCTAGCTACGTTCGACCATCGGTGCCTTCGCAGTTTGGCTCACATATGGTGGGAACACACCGTGAGCAACGAGCGTGTTCGACGCATTGTTTACGGCCCAGGAAAAGGATCTGAACCGCTCAGCACCGTTATTTCACGCCCCAGGCTCCGATGGCTGGGCCACATGTTACGCATGCCAGCACACCGACTTCCGCGACGTGCGTGGTTTGCTCACCGGGGATGTGGGTGGAAGAAGAGGAGAGGTGGCCAAGCGATGACTTGCTCCAGAGGAATGAAATCCCTCACTTCGGAACTAGCCTCGGTTGGAGCTTCACGGCTCCCTGGTTGGGGTCCAAAAGACGGTGAACACGTTTGGCTGGATACACTTGCTGACATGGCAAGGAGTCGACCTCAGTGGCGTTCCTGCTGTGAGTTTCTTTGTCACTCCTCATCCCTTTTAGTCTCCCCTCCATCTACGATCTCATTTCCTAGGGTAAAACATAATTTTAAAAAATTTCCTTTTTGCCTAGTAGCTGGCTGGAAGCTTACCGGAACGATGCCTATCCGTTGCTGGTAGCTCAGCTGGCATGCAACTGTTGTATCTATTTTTCCTTTGTGTATTGTATTATATGTATGTATGTATGTATGTATTTCCCTTGTGCCCCATGCTGAGGCTGATGTTGCATTCTTGATGCTTCTTCACCGCAGTTGGGCTAAACCAACTTACACTTAAACTAGGTCTTTTTAAGCTGGATAAATTTCATTCCGCTATATTTGGTTTGTTCTGCCTCCCTGAATAATGTTCTATTAACTGGCCACGTTGCTTACACTAATTGCGCTTATCTTCGGTAGTTTTGTTGCGTTTTGTAGCATTTTAAGTAACTTGTGGACATTTCTTACTTATCACGGATTTGTTGTTAACGCACTTACTTCATATGGTAAATTAGCGAAGAGTTATGCCACCGTATCTGTATGCATTGTTGGATTTATTTTATTTCAACTTGTCGTTTAAAGTGAATGGCTATTGTTTGATATCCCCGGTGTGGTTGCGCTTGATGTGTATGTTGACAAGGTGCCTACCTGTCTATTACCCACTACATCGTTCATACTGGCTCCAGGAGACAGTTGGTCGTTGCTGGAGGGGACGGGGTGCACGGTTCTTGTGGCCGTGCTAGGCTCAAAGAGCGGTTCCATGCACTCAGTGTGGAGCGGACTACGGTCCAGCCACCGCCTTGTGTGCGCTTGATTCCCCAAATACAGCGTGCTTGTGTTTGCCTGTGAAGGAGTGTGGGCCGGCTCCGTTGATGAAACGTGGTTCCCATCCGCATGCCTCCCGGTCTTATTCCTTTGGGTTTACACTGGATATGGGGTATGTGGTTGGAGCTGTGGGTGGTGCAGCGCAAGCCATCCATGGTCCCTCTGTAGGCGCAGGCGTCCTGTGGCTTACCACAGTGACAGGCAAATCCGAAACCGGATGCCGCCAACCATGTATGTGTGCCCCATGCTGAGGCTGATGTTGCATTCTTGATGCTTCTTCACCGCAGTTGGGCTAAACCAACTAACACTTAAACTAGGTCTTTTTAAGCTGGATAAATTTCATTCCGCTTTATTTGGTTTGTTCTGCCTCCCTGAATAATGTTCTATTAACTGGCCACGTTGCTTACACTAATTGCGCTTATCTTCGGTAATTTTGTTGCGTTTGTAGCATTTTAAGTAATTTGTGTACATTTCTTACTTATCACGGATTTGTTGCTTACCAACTTACTTCATATGGTAATTTAGCGAAGAGTTATGCCACAGTATCTGTATGCATTATTGGATTTATTTTCTTTTAGCTTGTCGTTTAAATTGTATGTGGCTGTTGTTTGAAATCCCTGGTATGGTTGCGCTTGATGTGCATGTTGACAAGGTGCCTACCTGTCTATTACCCACTACATCGTTCATACTGGCTCTAGGAGACAGTTGGTCGTTGCTGGAGGGGACGGGGTGCACGGTTCTTGTGGCCGTGTTAGGCTCAAAGAGCGGTTCCATGCACTCAGTGTGGAGCGGACTACGGTCCAGCCACCGCCTTGTGTGCGGTTGATTCCCCAAATACAGTGTGCTTGTGTTTGCCTGTGAAGGAGTGTGGGCCGGCTCCGTTGATGAAACGTGGTTCCCATCCGCATGCCTCCCGGTCTTATTCCTTCGGGTTTACACTGGATATGGGGTATGTGGTTGGAGCTGTGGGTGGTGCAGCGCAAGCCATCCATGGTCCCTCTGTAGGCGCAGGCGTCCTGTGGCTTGCCACAGTGACAGGCAAATCCGAAACCGGATGCCGCCAACCATGTATTTCTTTCATGTATTGAGGCACAATAGCGGTGTTTTCCCACCTCTAGCTGATGTGTATAATGAATGAATGAATGAATGAGTATGTGGAATCAGTATCGACTAGCAATTGAGTGCGTTCAGCTTACATAGTACCAAACACTACAGAAGAGGCTGAAGGGTGAACGTGAGAAACAGCAGGAGCAGTCTAAGAACATCGCTGGGACATTCTCTGTTGCATGTGCTCACAGACCGCCTTCCTGAATCTTTGGCCAGTATGGGAAATGCTGTCGCACGCGTCTAACTGAATCAGTGGTTGAGCTGCTGGGCGGGATGCACAATCGCCTACATGCTAGTGGCAAGTTCAACGGTCTCGGTATTTCACGGTAATGAACTGCCGCTACCAGTCGCACGTAATTCGGTTCCAGTGACTGGAACTCACGAAAAAGGAATCTGCGATGGATGGAAATCTACAATGCCTCCTCCGGCCTAACAGGAACTCATGATAGGTTTCGAAGTCAATCGAATCCTCCGAGACTTACCGGTAGACCTCAGCTTCTCTAGCAGCAGCATCATCGTTCGGGAAGACTGCGATCACCAGTAACCGTAAAGCAGCAGAGAACGAAACCAGCGGTTCACCAGGTTGTTACCGCAGCTGATGGGATCGCCTACAGTGCTACAGCTCCGGTTAATTAAGGTATGAAGGATGATAGAAGCTTTCGCCTGTTTCTTGTGCCGGTGAAAGAAAAATAGCTCACGGCAATTCGACGTTGGATTGACTCTTCTCGATTCTGAAAAATAATGAAGCAAGAACAGGAGCAATCTTAAGTGCAAATTTGCACTTTTATATGTCAACGACAGAATAGACTACAGATTCAAGTATAATTACAATATCCCTGGGAAATGCTCGGAGCAACATTTATCCAAGCCCGTTCTACAAAATTAGTGGATATGAGAACATGGTGTGTTGCTGTTCTAGCTTTACTAACTATGCAGAGGCAAGTAAAGCAAATCAAACGTCAAAGTGCAGGTAGGAAGCTCTGATTTGCTCGCTGGTACAATAAACGGACGGCTCGATAGGCAGGAACCTATTTCGTCAGGTCGGGATCCAAGGTCACAATCACGATCAGGAGTAAACAAGGTGTTAACTCTGTCTTGATGACGGAGACAAAACAACGGTCGGAACGGAGAAAAGTCAAGTGTACACATTCTGCCAGTATGAAATATGCTTCCAATACAATTTGCGGGGAAAAGATAGCAAGAGACAGCTTTCATCAAAATTTCAAACCGCGCGTAGTCGGTA